GGGAACTGTGAAAGGGACTATTGGATTAAATTTTTTTTATTTTCTATACTGGGCCCTTTTTAATCCCCATGTATTCCTAATTTCATATATATAGTATATTCCTTTTATATTCCTAATTGTATATAGATAGTATATTTAGCAGGGTCTCCCCGATTAGCAAAGCACGTGTGCCAAGATAGAAGCTTTTGAGACTGTAATAAAGTTTATTATTATTATTATTATTATTATTATTATTATTATTATTATTATTGTTATTATTTTGTCATTGATTACTAGTAATTTAGCACACTAAATAACGTGAGTAAGTATTAATTTTACAAAATAGCGCCACACTGGATAACAATTGGCATCACATTTATCGGCACCAATCTTGATGACAAGAGCGATTCTTTGGAACCAAAGCAAGACTCATCGAACAACTAATACATGAGGTGAAAAACGACTGTCTTTCAAAGACGTACCTCCTTGTCAAACTTTACGGTCCATCTTTGATTGTTTGGGTAAATCAGACCAGTTGGAAAGTGGGAACCATTGACYATATATGGAGGTGCAACTAGAATGTATAAACAACATAGTGAATATTGCAATGAAAGCATRATCGATATAATATGGTTTGAAAATTTACCTCCAGCCAAAAGTGTAACGCAGCTTTGGTCGGATGATAATCTGTACATAAGCAAAATTAGATTGCAAAGTTTTAGAATTACTTTTATTAAACCGTTTTTGAAAAGGGYATTCTATATATTCATCTTTTCAGGATTTGTTTCCTATTTTCATTCTCTACTTCTCTCGTTTTAATTTCCTTCATTTTTCCTTCATTTCCCTTCATTTCTATTCTATTTTAACGTTTTTGTTGGTGGCTTACCCACTGACATCAATAGCAGTGCAGACGAATGACAGGGTCGACTTGTGATTGACTTACCCGTTGGCATCAATAGCAGTGTAGCAGAATATGACAGGATCTACTTGTGATTGACTTGGAGTCCATGTCACGTTTACATACCATTCGTTGGCAGAGTACTGAGCCAAAGAAGACTTGGTGAGTCCAGAGGGACTGATCGTCGTGATTTCTATAATCCTATTAAAATTTAGGCATATTAGACATAGTGTGCCTTTCAAATTTGGGGAAGCACGGGTGGTGTGCGCTGCGCATGCGTTGTCGGCTCTCGCCTATTTGGACGTTTATGGGTTTCATTCCTGAATGCGCTATCACATGTGAGTAAAGTTGTTGTGAAGATCAATTTTTAAATTCCGATTTCATCTTTTCAGCTTTAAATTAGTTTGTAGTCTAGCCTTGTTGTGATTGTCCCACGGTGTGATACAACAAGACAAAGTGTGATACATTGTTTACATGTAATATACATTGAAGCCGGGAAAACTGGTCGTGCTGCTAGACGTTGGTGTTGACACAATGTCCTATGATGGCACTGCCCTTACTCGCTTTCTTGCTAGTTTTTATGTACGCCATGTTTGTTGAATTTAACAAAAAATCTATTTTTTTGATATATCACGAGGCAACACAACCGCCAAATCTTTTGGAGTGTTATTTCTTCGTCTTGGGAATAATTGCAAACACCTTTGCAGTACAATACCTGTTTCCTGTCCCTTGGCTTTTGGCAATGATGCGTTCATTCAATGTCGAGCCATGAGGAACACCAATGCACGATCCATCAACTCTTGTTTCTCCACTAAATTCTGGTTTACTAGAGCAACTTGCGCTAGATGTGAACACTTGGACTAAGAATTGAATAGGGATGCCGCTTAAAGCATTACTCGATAGACGGTCTGTGAAGTCTTCAACCATGATAGCGACAGCGTACCAACCGATTCTTCCTGTAGCCAAATACTCCATTTGACACTTTCGCTGAATTAAATTCAATTATTTCCAGTTAGCCAAACATTAGATGATTCATGTCGGTGCTCTTAGTGCGCATGATAGAATAACTGCAGCAATGCAATAGGGACTTTACCAGGAAATCTAAAATGACGCAGTTGACGTGACACCGGACCTTTCAAAATTAACTGCATTATCTAATGCAGAATTCTACAAAATTTTCTGGCTATTTTTTTATGGGCGAAAGTCAGCTTGATTCTGTTCAGACTCTTTCCATTCTTTGGTCTTTGCTCTAAAATCTGGAAATGATACTGAGTGAAGATTTTATTAGAAAACGAATCAAAACTGATTCCTACCTCGTCTAGGACGGCTCCAGGGAAGGTCCTACACACGCCGGCGCATTCATATTTACTTGATTCAGCCCATCGACATCGTATGTCATCCTTATCTGCATCACTGACTGTACAACAAATAGATTATCGTATATAGATAACAAATTGTCAGTGAAAGTCTGTACGTCATTAGTAGACATGTCGATTACTATACAGGCTAGACCTACCTGGTATGACTATGGTGTGATTGCATCCATATTACAGTCTGTACGTCATTGGTAGACATGTCGATTGTTATACGGGATATACCTACCTGGTATGACTATGGTGTGGTTGCATCCATATTGCAGTCTGATGATGGATGACAAGGCGGCAGTTGGTGATGTATTAATGAGTCCAGTGTCCTTTCGTTTCGTCAGATTGACGTACATTCTCACTTCCCAGTTGCCACCTCCCTTGACTAGGGAAATCCAATCGCTTCCAGTAAAACTAAAGTAATTTAGGGATCTTTTTATTTAGGGATTTTGATTTAGGGATTCTGATATGTGATTGATTGATTACCAATCTTAATAATACTCATTTGGAAATCACTGGTTATTTCTGCAATCTGACTGGGTCTCATTTAATCACGAATCGCACCATTTTGAGTTTGAAATCAAATTTTTTTCCCGCACTTGTTTCTGTTCTCTAATATAAGCACGGGACCCAACCAATCAGCACGCGCGTTATAACATAATACTTTACGACAATTTGTCCCCATTGTCCCCATTGTCCCCATTGTCCCCATTGTCCCCATTGTCCCCATTGTCCCCGTTGTCGTCCCCGTTGTCCCAATTGTCCCCGTTGTCAACACTGTCCCAACCGTCCCTTATTTACCTCGCCTGGTAAAGTGGAGAATGAATATCAGGGAATCTATATGTGTAGTTCCTTTCACCGGCTGACCAATCCTCTTGCACGCTGAAATCTGTACATTTGAAATCCATGCTGCCAACGTACCCACTGCAGCCTGAGCGACACTGGAGACGTGACCCGCTAGGACCAATGAGACGGCCGGAATTGATCGTGGATTGATCACAGTATGTGTTTGATCTCCGCCAGGCAATTCGTAACGAAATAATAACCTATACCGCATGAACAAAGAAAAAGAAAGAGCAAATGAATGAATATTTTCACTAAATAGCAAGTGATTTTGTCACACTTTAAATAGACAAGTTGGAATAAGATGTACTTCATTTATATTTTAGGTAATTAAGAAAATAGAATTTTTAATTTTATCTGGAAACCCAGATTTTGTGCAACAATGAATCAAATCTCCTCCCGCACCGTAATATGTTCCGGTCCCAGATACTTACGGGCCCTTGGTGAAGAGGGCCCGTGAGGAAAAGACTACGATGGATCCGCATCTTTCTTTTTCTTTTCGTTGTCGTTGTTGTTGTTGTTGAATACGCTGTGAGTACGTATGGACAGTCGAATCCGTGTATTTTGAATATGATGTTCAACAGTCCTCACGTATAGTTCTCCTCTTCTTGGGCGTAATGTTTTCCCATTTCAGACTACCTGTCATTCCCTTGAGAATAAGATTCTTTGTTTGAGTTGTATTCATGTTCATGTGTCTTCTTATGCGAAACCGTTAAGCAAAGAAATGATACTCTAGGGAATGACACGTGATCTGAAATAGGAAAAAAAATACACCCGAGCCGAGGAGGTCTATTTACAGCGTATTCAGCAACAATTCACCGGATACGTTTATGTGGACGGGAGGCCAATCCATAATCCAAAAGTTGCCTATTCAAAAACATAAAGATACGTGGGGACGGTCTAATACGATTCTGAATAGACCTCTCTACCATGGGACTAAGGTAAACGTATTAGAGACCTCGTTTCATTCCTGGATTATCCTTTCCTTGTTTAACGATTACACATGAGAAGACCCATGAATATGAATTCAAACAAAGAATCTCATACAGCAAATGACACTTGCTTTGCAATGGGTAACATTGAGGTCCTGATACGCTACGTTTCGACAAAATGTTTTGAACCGCAACGAAATGGTTGTGGGTTCAATAATATCCGGATATCCCGAGTGAATTGACCCTTAAAGTTTCCTAATTCGGAAATCAATGGGCGCGCTGAATTCCGAATTATGGCGTACGTAACTAAGCACCGATTGGTATTTTTAATTAGCTGTCGAGAAAACTAAAACAACTAAACCACAAAAGAAAAAATTGCAATTTTTATAGAAATAATCAACCGAATATAGTTGACTAGGACTGTTCTATGTATATTTAAAAAGGTTCAGCAATACTATACTTGAAACTCTGGTGGTTTTACATTACACCTCTTTCTTGGAACTGCGCTAATGTTTTGACCTGAGTGATCTTTCGTGTCAAGTTCTGAATTCTAAGAACTCTTATTTCTAAGAACTCTTAGTATTTCTAAGAACTCTTATTTCTAAGAACTCTTATTTCTAAGAACTCTTATTTCTAAGAACTCTTATTTCTAAGAACTCTTATTTCTAAGAACTNGTATGATATTGTATGCCACGGCAATGAAACGGCTAATTAATTCCCATAATCTAAGAAATAAATCAATCCAAAGTATTTAGGAATCTTTTTTGAATATTGAATGAATGATAGAACATTGTYACACTGTATAATGTGTAGTTCCAGAAATCATCCATACCTACCCCACAGAGGAATTTGGAATTTCCGAAGAGTAGGGGGGGTTGGAAAAAGAACAAAAATGACAGAGTTTGTATGGAAGAAAATTGGAATTTCCAGGGGGTAGGGGGGTGTCTTAAAAAAAATTCCTCCGTGAGGGGGGTATGGATAGTTTTTGGAACTATGCAATTTGTCTGGCAATTAAAACAGTTAATTGATGAATATTCTTTTAATTTTATTTAAGTGGATTAAAACCTCATTGATAGCAAATATGACTAACAGTTCGTTATAAATCATGATGTAACGTTAAAGCCATGACACATGACATTGAAATAGTTTTCCAGTATGACCTTTCATGAATTTGCCAATTTTATTTATTTTTCTAATGAGTGAAAAACTTGATGATTGATTTCAAATATTGCTGGTTTTCAATCACTCCCAAGGGAGTGAAATAACCAAATACAAGGCGGCCATGTTGGTTGATGTTCAAAACTCAAATATTTATCATTTATCATATTTATATTTATATCTATATCTATATCTATATCTATATCTATATCTATATCTATATCTATATCTATATCTATATCTATATCTATATCTATATCTATATCTATATATCTATCTATCTTTCTATTTACAGGCTGCATAGTTGCTGCATTATAATGTTTATATTACCAAATAGCTTGTTTTTTTTTTGTACCTATTCCCTCAACTAAAAAGTTAGTTCATTGCTGGTAATCTTATTAGATGAAAAATAATTATACTTATACTGTTTAGTTTACCAAAGATATTTTAAAAGATATTTTTTTATTTTTCAAAAGTTTCAATCTTAAAGTGAAAATCGATATGATAATAATATATTCTTTGATATATATCATATATTCATACAAAATGAGTTATATTGGCCTGATATTAATCAAAACACGTTCGGTCTTGGCTTCCACAAGGCTCTTGTTCTCAGTTACTTTAACTGACGTGAAGTCTGTCCGAGTTGCTAATCAGCTCCCGTAGTTAAAAATACACTTTTTGAAATGCCGTCACATCGGGTAATAGCGGTCCGTAGTTTCTGTCAAAAACGAGGCCGGAATTGTACATGCTTTCTACCAATATCAACGGCCAATGGCAATATTGAATGGAAAAGGATTCGAATAATACCGTGCTACTCAAATGAATGTTTTCGAGGATTTCCTACGTTATATTAGATGTCTTTCATAAGTTTGACTGCTTAACGGTTGAGTTAATCTACAATTTTCTTACCCTCTTGTCTGTCGTGCTGCTAGCATTTACGGATTTCCAACTGAGTGTTGCTCCCCTAAAGTGAGAACACCTCGCAAGATTCACGCATACGATACTGAAAACCAAAGCATTTGCCAGGAAGGCACTCATTCTGCCATCGAGTTTGAGTCTAATATCTAAAAAAAGGCACTTGTGTTTCTGAAGCAGAATTAAAAGAGCTTGCGATGATGCACCTTTCACTTAAAGCCGCTAAAATGAAAACGAGACAAGGATGCCGTTACAGCGGCGTACGTAACTTAGTAAAAATGTGGAATGGAGTCGGAATGCAGACTGGACTACACTGATAATCCACTACTACGCAACGATTTTTAGTGTCAAAATGCTGTCCTCCCGCGGGTGTAGCATGTAAAAAATAGTCTTGCATCTTTTCGAATAGATTTACTCAAGGGAGCATAAATAAAAGAGGGAAAATTCTTAACAACCGCGCGCCATGTAAATTCTCGGTTGGGCTTTTTTTAGTAACCGGATGCAGTTAAATTTTGCCTTACCCTACTCCCGTGCGTCATCAACTTGAGCTCGCGGGCGCTCTTTCCGTTTATTGTTTTGGTTACTACTAAAAACGAAACGGAAAGCGAGTGCGCACTCAAGTTAATGACGCACGGGAGTAGGGTGAGGCGAAATTTAAACTGCAAAATAGACAAGAAGCCAACTAGAGGAAAGATGTCTTAGATTACTCGTGTTGAAAATTCAGCTGGAAAGAAATATCTTAAGAAACCTATCAAGATTACAGTCTCAGACAACTGATTTTTTTATCATTTTTTATTTACAATCTTCATTGTTATGGAATCTTGTCTTGAATACTGAATACTTTCATCACTTGCTCTGCGAAAGAAAATAATAATAATCAAAAATCAAAAATCAACTAAAAGAATACTTTATTAGCATCAATACTTTCTAATGAGATGCAATTCATTTATTCATTTGTTTTTATCTTTTTTTCAGTATTCCCTCGAGTGGTGTTTTTGGGCTTGTTACGATAGCCGGTTGCCATGACAACACAAGGTAAAGAGAATGTTCAATGATAATCAAGTAAAACCAAAAGTTTCTTTGAATGACCACTCAGCTTTCCTCGCACAAGTTATTATTCTTGCACCGAAAAATTATAATTTAGAATGTAAGATCTTTCACATAGATTAATTGCAGCTTTTCTCACTTTTCTCACTGCTTTTTACGTCCTAATATCGCATTACTAGATTTCAGAATTCTCTTTCAAAATCCTTTTTGAAACGTTTTAACTCATTTGGTAGTCGTAAGATAATTATGTTAACTAGGCTAAAAAAGGAACTATAAAAGGATTATGCTAGTAACTGTTTCAAGATGTATATAGAAGAATTGGAAATTATTAATGAGTTTTTGTATTTATTAATTATACATTATTAATGCATTTTAGTTATTGGATACGATACGGTGAACATGAATTTTCATGTTCGAGGATATCCTAAATATAAACTGAATGTTTTCATCTTCAATTAACTACACGGAGCTTTGACACAGAGAAGTAAATGTTCTCTGGTAAAACGCACATTTCCACCAAAGCCTGGGGTTTCAAAGCCTGCTTTAACGAGGTTTAGCCAGTGTGTTTCAGTGCTACTTACGTGTTACATGCACGTGCCTTGGCAGTCACGCAACGTGAAAAAGTTGTTCTCATTTCCTCTACATCCGCCGTAATAAAACATCTCGCAACGTCCAGATTGAGAGTTGAAGTAGAATCGTGGAATATGAGCACGACAGTAGCCGATTTTCTTGGGTAGGAGACAGATATTTCCTTCGGCACTTGTTAGGGACAACCCTGGAATATAGAAATTATATAGATGCGTTGATGTTTGGAATAAGGAGTTCGAAATGAGTAGTGGGGAAATGAGAGGAACTGAGAAGAAGATAGAAAGGAAATTGGAAGGAAAGGAAAATAAAGGAAAGGAAAGGAAAGGAAAGGAAAGGAAAGGAAAGGACAAAAAAAAAGAAAATGGTATCGCCAATCGTAAACGTTTTTATTAGCTTTATATAGATCTCAATTATTGGCCACGTGAGTTTTGGGAAATCCCCCTGGAGACAGAAGTAAAGGTGTGCGACACACAGACTTATTTCTGATTAACGTAATAGATAGAACAGAACACGCCGCTAACGACTAACACTTACACGGGCAAAAGAGGCGACAAAACGCCGCATTTATCTAATATTGGTAAAACTGCCCAATGGTAAGCTGTCACTGAACTTTACTTGCCTCTCCGGAATAAAATGTTCAGAATTGCATTAAACGGCCTCAAAAGGATTGGTAGATAATAGTTGGGATAATAGTGCTGAAGATTCGAATAAAAACGTTGTTGAGCAGTGAACTGACTAGCATTACTACCAAACTTTTCTTATTATTGCGGAAAGGTAGAAACGTCATGTATGTACATTATTCTATTGATGCCAATAATTGTATTTGGTGTTCCACGTGTTTGTGACATACATGAAGTACAATACGACAGCCTCGCATATGGTCTGAATTTTAACGTATATCGAACGTTCGTGGCCGTTTCCAAATATAACTTAGTTCTACTTTATTGCGAAAGGAAATTCATAGAATCGGGGTACAAAATAAGGTCAAATGTAATCTCCCCAACACAACAGATAAGCAATCAGTCTGTGTCACCTTCTTAAACTTATTATTTCAGACAACCAATGCGTTGGTTCTAATGTTGGACACTGTAATCTATTGCTATCACTAGATTAGCACCGCTCACGAGCTGATTACAAGGCCTACGGCTAATAAACATACGAATCCTTTAATATAATGTTTTTCAATTTTCCATGGGAATCTCTAGAACACGATTTACCTATTTACTTGCAGCAGAAATTGTTTTAGTATCATTATCAGCATCACCACCACCACCACTACCACCACCATCATCATCATCATCATCAAAATAATCATCATTCACAGGGCCGTAACCAGGGGGAGCACAGGGTGAACGTGCACCCCCCCCCCCCAAAAAAAAAGCTTAAGGTCCGCTCATCTATCTCCTTTGCTTTAAAATTGCATGTAAATGTTTTTTGATTAAATGAAGACCACTTTCCATCTGCATATTGTAGCATTTTTAAGAATTACTCACCCATTATTCCTGGTTTTTTTGTTTTTTTTTCCCCCTTCTTGTTTTTTTCCTTGTCTCAGTTTTGTTTAGTCCTATATAAAACTTACATTTTTAATAGAACGATCACTCGCCGTACAGAGCTCTTCCGTGGGGTTCGCTTTACATGCACTACCACTACATTATAGATTTACAAAATACAACGCTCAACTCAAATGGAAGAAAAACCCTCGTGGCAAGGGAGAGAACAACACATCATACAAACTCAACTCACATGTGGATTTTTTAGGAGGAAGGAAAACCAGAGAACCTGGAGAAAAACCCTCGTAGCAAGGGAGAGTACAACACATCAAACAAACTCAACTCACATGTTGATTTTTATGGAGGGAGGAAAACCAGAGAACCTGGAGAAAAACCCTCGTGGCAAGGGAGAGAACAACACATTAAACAAACTCAACTTACATGTGGATTTTTACGGAAAGAGGAAAACCAGAGGACCTGGAGAAAAACCCTCGTGGTAAGGGAGAGAACACATCAAACAAACTCAACTTACATATGGATTTTTATGGAGGGAAGAAAACCAGAGAACCTGTAGAAAAACCCTCGTGGCAAGGGAGAGAACAACACAGCAAACAAGCTCAACTCAAGTTGATTTTTATGGAGGGAGGAAAACCAGAGAACCTGGAGAAAAACCCTCTTGGCAAGGGGAAGAAAAATACATCAAACAAGCTAGACTCAAGTTGATTTTTACGGAGGAAAACCAGAGAACCTGGAGAAAAACCCTCGTGGCAAGGGAGAGAACAACACATCAAACGAACTCAATAACTTACATGTATAGTTCAATCGAGAACCTCAACTACGACGAATAAAAGTAATTCGAACTAGAATAAAACCAATTAGTCTTTCTAATTTTTTGTTTATTCTAATTCTATTTTTTTACTGTTTATTAACACATCGTTAGTGAATTATTTCTTCAGCGATTCGTCACCATGGTAACTTTACGGTTAACGTTCTCACGTGGATCTAAGGAACACTGAAAATTCGCAAGAAGATTTAAGGTTTATTAACAATACATTAATCTATAAATACACGTTTATTTCTATCAGTATTTTTATCGTCATTTATTGTTTTATATTCCTCGTTATATACAAAATAGTTTTGGGTTAAACTGAGATATTTGAGGATCCATGAATTCATTATTTTAGTCTATTATCTATTATTTATATTTATTATGTTCAAGTTACAATTTTATTCACTGACATTTTTTCGTTTGTTGAAATTTCAGTGTAATATTTCGTTATAAGTATCACGTGATTCATAAAAAAGCAACAGGGAGCCCAACTAGATATAATGTAAAGCCATGGGGAGATTACAAAATTTGTCAGGCGAAAGTTGAGGTAGCCCAATAAAGTAAATTTGGTAGTCATTTCGAAGCGAGACGAACGTTGAGCTTGCAATGATAGAGACCTTTTTTAACACCTTGGACAATTATTCACACTTCTCTATCATTGCAAGCTCACCGTTCGTCTCGCTTCAATACAAAGGCATGGCAACCTTTCAAGATGGCGCAGGGAACAGTGAAGGAGACTATTGGAAAACTTTAGTGGGAGGTCAAGTGATTCTGACACAGGTACCACAGGAAACCCATCGTAATTTTTGGTTATAAAATCCTTTGAGGAAGATTTCAAGGAAGGCAAATAAACAGGGAACCCAACCAAGGTATTTAATATTATTCTTACGTTAATACTTCATATTTGAAAAATATTTTTTGTTGGTCACGTGGTCCCAACAAAGACACAGGTATCCCATCAGTAAATTAGCTATTTCTATCTTTTCTAGTCTAGTCTACTTACTATCTCATGCATGTACTATGACTTCAGTACCGGTAAAACCACTTTGTTCCACGTGTCGTCCCATCTGACTTGTTGGAAACTTTTCAAGTTGTTTCTGAAGTTCTGAAGCATTTTTTGATTCTTTGGAAATCCATCCAATAGTTCCTGGACAAAATAAATAATATAAGAACATAAAAATAAAAAATATATCCTCCGTGGAATTCGTACGTTACCGCGCTGTGTTCCATAGCAGACCTATTTGTTCAGGGTTAGCGTCACGTTCACGATCGCTGGCATCATTTTCAGCGATCCGGCGATCGTGAGCGATCATATGGAAACCAGGCTTTACACAATACAATTTTCACAAACACCAATGGTAAAGTAAAGAA